ATAGAATACGAATGGGACATATGTATCCCGTGAACCCGTAAACTAGAAAGTGTGTAAACAAAAGGGACTAGAATTAAAAATATGTATGTAATATGTCTTACCTAGATATTATGGCACTCCTTGATATAGATTTGAAATAGAAACGTACGTTTTATAACATAACACTGCGCTTAAATAATAACCACATGTGCACCAAAACAAATAATGAGGTTAACTGATGTTATAGGTTAGTAAAGTCGAGTTTTGCGCGGGCACATTGATTCTCGGTACTCTCAGAACGGTTGGGACAGTGTCAAATCTGGTTTATGATGCGTTCAAAGGCTAACAGTATTCTATAAACTTTTAGTGGGACATATATAACCCAATAGTAATTTAGCCGTATTGAAAGGGTTAAAACAAAACTAAAAATTGTTCTAAAATTGTTCTATCCGTCATTCGGTTGCCCCCTTACGAGCAACCCTCAGAAGTCTTCGAAAGTCTTGTGCGAGCAGGGAATGACGGGGGCCTGACCTTTTAACGTGTGATCCCAAACACTTTCTTAGGCCATCAGAAAAAGTCTGCGTTCGTGGGACTCGAACCCACGATCGATACCTCGACGTGAATCGATATTGAAGCATCGAAGCACTGAGGTACGCCGCCTCTAACTACATAATAATATGAAGCTGCAAAATGAATATCTACAGTGTGTCCCACTTACCATGCTCACCATGGGTATCTTTTTAACGGTGAGAGATACGAGGTCGGTTAAATGACACCAAATGTGGAGTTTGTCAAGGCCAACTATAATGTGGAAAAATATTTTGATAAAATCTATTCGTTTTTGTTTTATACGCAAAAAACAGATTTTGATCATTTTCATGTCTCCTCCGTAACTTCTTTATTTATGAAAATATTCAAATAGGAATTTCACATTCACATGGCAGTTCTTTAAAGTGATTTCGAAAAAAATATGAAATTTATACCAACTCTTCTAGAATTTGAGATATCAGCACCAACTTTAGTTTTTCAAATGTAGGTCACAGCTCACTATGACTAAGTTACAAATAACGATATGTCGCAGTAATAGTTTTGTGTTGATAACAACGAAGTTATCGTCATTTATTCAAAAACAAAAATTATTTGGAAGCCGCCATCTTGAATTTATAAATTTTAACAAAAAAATCATGATCCTCGACCTCAAAAACCCCCACTTACCAATTTTGAATGGAATCGGACCAAATCTTGTCCGCCATCTTGGAGCAGCCATTTCAACAAAAATTCCATAACTCCGATCAACTTGAAATTTGGCAGGTGTTCATAATTTCGGTGACAATACATTATGGAATTTTTGTTGAAATGAAAAAAAAAAATGGCTGCTCCAAGATGACGGACAAGATTTGGTCCGATTCCATTCAAAATTGGTAAGTGGGGGTTTTTGAGGTCGGATATCATCTATTGTAGATAATCAGTATTTAATGACATTCATCAACATTATAATAATTATATGACATGACATGTCAAACATGCCATTGACTAAACAACAAGTTATACAGTATCATCACATCTTCCTTTCTATATTTTTTCAGATCCATATCGATTTGGTGGTTTCACAACCCTTCCGGATCTAGTCGTCTGAACTACTTCTTGTGATTGTTCTGACGAATTTTCCGCAATGTCTGGCAGAACATCATTCTTGACATCTTCTGATACTTCATTGTTATTGGAATTTGATTCTCCCATTTCTTGAGGTATCGCTGTTATGGAAGATTCTATATCAGAGTTTGTTTTATGCAAGTGATGGGAATTCCTTCGATAAATACTCCCATTATGAGTCTGCACCATCACCGAACGTGGAGAATCTGTATTTGATACAACCTTTCCATTGGTCCAATCTCGCTTGCCAACTTGCATACGAACTATATCACCCACTCGAAAATCTTGTGATGGTTGTTTATTTCTATCGCTATATTCTTTCTGCGCTAGTCTCAGTTTAGTTAACTGTTCTTCCACATTATCGATGATCCTGGGTTGGAGTTTTGATTTCGCAATTGGAAGGGTACTATTCGTGATTCTACTCATGAGTCTCTCATTTGGGGATCCAAGAGAATCATTTCTGGGAGTATTTCGGAAATTCAGCAACGCAAGCTGAACGTCTGTTTCGTCCAGTGCACATTTTCTTAAGATATTCTTGGCTATTTGAACATTTCGCTCAGCTAATCCATTAGCTCTCGGAAAGTGTGGACTTGACGTTTGGTGTTCGAAATTCCATAGTCGAGTGAACTGTTTAAATTCATGACTAGAATACTGGGGACCATTGTCGCTTTCTAAAATAATTGGTATTCCATGGACTGCAAACCATTTTTTCATATTAGTGATTACCTCTGAAGATGTTGAATGCTTCAACTCAACGAAATCTAGGAATCCAGAATAACTATCGACTATTAGTAAATATTCTTTGGCGTGAAAATGAAATATGTCACTTGCGACTCTTTCCCAGGGAAATGTTGAAATTGGTTTATTGATAATGGGCTGATGAACATTCGTTCTTTGAGTTTTTTCGCAAATGCGACAATTTTCCACATAATTTACTATATCAGTGGTCTGCTTTCTCCAGTATAATATTTCTCGAGATCTTTTCAAACAACTCTGTATTCCTAGATGTCCTGAATGGACCTGTCTCAATATATTTGGCACCAGAGCTCTAGGAATAACTATTTTGTCTGCCTTGAATAATATGCCACTGTATATAGACAACTCTTCTCGAAAGTTGAAATAGTGTTTAGCAATTTCATCCACCTGATCTTTTTCACCGGGCCATCCATTCTTCACATATCCTACGACGCATTGTAATTCTGGATCATCCGTAGTTAATGAGATAATATTTTCCTTAGCCGATTTAGAAACTGGTATTATCATCATCAGGGAATTCATTATATTCCACATCTCTGCTCAGAGTATCAGCTATTGGTATATCTGTCCCTTTCTTGAAAACTATTTTTGGCGCATATGGAATAACTTCCAACATTATACGTTGTAACCTTGCTGGGGCACTATGTAGAGGTTTCTTGAAAATGATCTCCAATGGCTTATGATCGGATTCGATTGTTAGATTTTTACCATACACATATTCATGGAACCGGCTTACTGCGAATCTTATTGCAAATGCTTCTTTCTCAATTTGAGGATACAACTGCTGTGAGGGTGTCAAGGCTTTTGCAGCATACGCTACCGGTTGTCCATCTTGCAATAAAACTGCACCTACTGATTTGGAACTTGAGTCAACTGAGAGTGTAACATCTTTGTTAACATCGAAAAATTTCAATACAGGTGGTTTGGTCAGCATTTTTTTGATCATTATGAAAGATTTTTCTTGCTCATGACTCCATTGCCACTCTGTATTTTTAGCTAATAGATGTCTCAAATCTTCTGTCAACTCTGATAGGTTCGGAATGAATTTATTGAGATAGGTCACCATTCCAAGTAATCGTTGAAGTTCAGTTTTATTTTCTGGCCTCTTGAGACTCTGAATTATCTTTACTTTGTCTGGATCTGGTTCCAATCCATTTCCGCTCAATATATGACCTAGGAACTTTATTCTTCGCACATTGAAGATACATTTGTCGGCGTTCAACTTCAGACCAGCCTCTCTCAGGATATTAACCACTTTAGATGTTTTTTTAAGAGATTTTTCACATTTCTTGATGGAGTAAACATCATGGGCGTAGGAACGAATTGTTTGCTGGGTTATAGTCTTTTTTTTTTATCTCACAAACATTCTACATAATCCTCAAATGTTAATTTATTCTCAACCCTTTCACTGTCGCACTCCTTTAGAGTTGTTACAAAATTCTGATATTTGGTGTACATAGTGAAGGGACCCTATACATTTTGTTTTTTTTCTTCTTAAATGGACCCAAATCGTCGAAACTGTTCGATGGTCTACCTCTTTTAGGGGCACGCCCACTGATAATTAGATTTTCAGCTACTTCTTGACGAAAAGCTAACTAATCTAGGATTCGCTTTTTATTCACTCCTAGAAGGATAGCTGCATTTTGATATTCAATCCATGAATTGGCGAGAAGCATGAGTTATCATCCTCACGGTCCATTTTCTTGATCTGACATATGATCGATATATACTAGTAAAAAATCCAACTTATCGACGCCACCCATATTATTATTGTATATTTTGATCGCATCAGGCCTATCTACCTGTACATATTCCTTCGTTGTTTTTTTCCACCTTTGACATGAGCCTTGCTCGCCAATCCCAACGAAGTTGGATGCTACCAGCACTAGTTTGTTATCATAACATTTGGTTACGACAATGCCATCTTTGCTAATCGAGGTAGCAGAAGAACCACGTCCCTTCTACTCCATTTCCTTATCACTGGGCAACGTTGGATAAGCAAAACGATTAGCTCTAATAGTTCCCACGGCGAATATGTACCTGGAGTTGAGATATTGAAGCAGATTGTATGTACTGAAAAAATTGTCAAGAAACGGGCCATGATTTATCCCAGATATTCTCTCACTGAGTTGCATTGCCACAGCAGCTGCAGATCCAAATTTTATGCAAACAGGATTCAGTGGTGTTGTTGAACCTTGATAAATCATAAAGTCCTATATCAAACCACTTTTGCCAGCCAAAACGTAGATTTTGATGCCCCATTTTTTAGGCTTATTTTTTACGTATTGTTTTATATTCATTTGCCCCTTGAAGGGTACTATCTTCTCGTTTTATCGCAGATATCGTATTGATTCTACTGGACCATCTAGTTGGATTTAGTTTTTTTAGAGTGGTGTCCGATTCGCCAGTGAATTTTGACAGTAGATCCCAACGTTTGATGCTGTTTCCGAAAAAGTTATACAAATCTTGAAACGTTGCGAAAAAAATCTGTACTTCCACACAACTGCTAATGGCATCATTTATCACCAAATTTAAATTATGAGTGGCACAATGTACGTACTCTGCGTTATGCTGGATATCCTTAATACGTTTTTGTACACCATTGTACACACCACTCATCACACTGGCTCCATCATAGCCTTGCCCCACACATTTTTTTAAATCAATATTTTTGTCGATAAATAATGTTGTCACTTGGTTGACTAAATCTACTGCGCCATGTTTGATGGCTGCATAAAAGCCTAGAAACACTTCTTTTACTTTTATATCAATTGGCTGTCCATTTTCCGATCTGTTTATTACTGCATACCTCACAACAATGCTTAGCTGATCTACCTTCGATATGTCCTGTGTCGTATCCATTATGATGGCAAAAAACGGTGACGCTCTAATTTGTTCTAGTAGATGGGTTTCGAGTTTGGTCCCCAAGCTCTCAATCATTTCATTTTGAATCGTTGCACTCAGATATCTTGTAGATCCTAAAAACAAAAAATACAATTTCAAAAAAGTCCTGATATTAAACAGTTAATATCTATTATAAAAAAAATAAAACGATAAACACTTATTATTATAATAACCTTTGGGCATATCCAAAACTTGCCGTAAAATGTGATCATATCGGGCGACAAGCTCTACAAAGGATAAAAAATTTCCGTGGTTTCCTTCCTGACTTAAGTCTTCTTGATGTCCTCTCAAAGCCAAAGAACTCTTTGCTAGGGTAAGTATGATATCGAATAACCTTTGAAGAACCATTTTCCAAAATGATGCTTCTTTGCGAATTTCATTTTCGAGTTCCTTGTCGATAGTATTAGTATCGTTTTTTTTTTCCAAAATTCATACACAGCTCATGCCTCCGAATGGCCACTCGAACAACTTTGTTGTTTAATTTTTTCTGATAAATGCTTCCAATCTCGAATTCCCGTACACCAAACATTATTCCTTTGTGAAGCAAATAACCAGCAGGGTTGACAATAGACAGCGTCTAGTATTTTGGAATAACACAACCAAAAACGATTAACTGGCCCATGTTTAGAACACGAAACGTAGTAGAATTTTGAAAAACACCTATTATTCTGGTTGATGCCTGTTGGAAAAGGTCCTGAAGGCTGCAAAGTCCCCATACCAAGAATTTGGCGTTTTTCGTTATCACTTAATATTTTGTTCGTGAAGTTTCCCAAGTCATAAGAAGATTTGTCGTACACATTTTCGAAAAATGTAGAGGTCTGTGGTTCCTCCAAACCCTCCGCGCTTATGTGTGTCATGCAAACATCATCCACGTTCACATGATCGGCGGCAGAGATATCTCCAACTGCAATAATTGTCGAATCTTCTTCAGTAGGCTTCTCAACCAACACTGCATTCACCACATTATTTGAGTCACTATCAATAGAAATATTTTGACCAGATGTACTTCCAGAAGGCTGACTAAAAAACTTGTCAATTTTGGGCAATTTTTGTTTACTTTCTTCTCTTTCTTGGCGTTGTTTTCGTTTAAATGCACCACTGGGTTTCTTCTTTTTATCCATAATTTCAGTTTTCTAATTCATTTAAAATAATACAAAATTAAATTGTACTCGATTAGGTAGGTATACTCACTGTTCACTGACGACATTAAAAGTAAAATAAAAGGAAAGAGAAACACAATGATACGCTACAAGTGTCGTTGGGGAATCCCAGGAAAAAATCATCACCGTTAGTATTGCCACATTTCACATTTATCGGTGGAGACTATGAACGATTTTCTGCCCGCGAACCTGAATGCAGGTGACTTGTATTTTTTCACGATATTTCGCGTTACACAATGAGCTGTAGCCGAAATCTATACATTTGACACGATTTATTGACTCAACGGACATCAATATGATATGAGTGGCAAAATCAGATAAAATTGAACCACTATATTGCCCATACAAAAAAGTTTATTGACATTAGCTTATTTACCCCTGATACAGCATTAATTTTTTAACCGTTCTCGAAAAAAATCTTAACTCGAATTCACAATAAAACGCACATTAATGAATAATAAAATGCACATATCACTATCTGTCAAATTGACAATACTGCCAACCTACAGAAATAATTTAAGGGATTTCCTTAGGCATAACTTTTGGATTTCTCTCATCTGAGTTGTTATGATTGAAGTGGGGTCGAGATCGAGATTTCTGGTAGGGATTGGAGGGCCCCCTGAGCTTGAGGGCCCCGGGGCACTGCCCCGCCTAGCCCATGGGTAGCTACGCCACTGCGTACAAGCATCTGACTTTCCACAATCTGTAATAAAAGAAGGCAAATGTCATTCAAATGAAAATTTGGGGAACTTGAATATCTGAATATCAACCTTTCTTTGTTGTTTTCTTCGCGGCTTGTGATATCAACCAAGTGCATTGCCTGGCGCAACTTGTAGAATCTAGCCTCGCTAATGGCATATTTCAGTAATAGTATTCCCATGCTATGGTGCCAATACATAGAGACTCTAGGGAACTGTGAATTCCCCATAGTAATATGGACCCCAATGAACGTTTTGATTTCATCCAAATTTGTTGGTGGAAACCTAGCCACATTATTTTGTGTGGCGTATAGATTTGTCATATCAGCCATCTGTTGTAGTATTTCATCTGGAATATATTTCGGAAAAAAGACAATTGATACCGGTAAATCTATTCGATTTGTTGTAGGAATAAATGAGTTCCATTGAATATTCATAGTTTGGTATTGTACATTTTCAGCCAGTATCCACTCTATTTCTAATTTATCTGTAAGACCGTAGGTTATCTCTAAATTTCGTATGTCTTTTTTAAGCTGCTCGTTATCATTTGTACATCTCGCACCATTGACATGCATTTGATTTTTTTGAGAAAATCAACTATTTCTGTCGGAATGTCGAAAAAATCCCTCTAGCGGCCACATGTGCAACTAACGAAACTTCAAATATCATAAAATTTGTTGCCCAAGAATAGCTCTTTTCAACTAGCTTAAGTTTGTCAAAATCGGCTAAGCCGTTTCGAAGAAACAGGGTGTATTTTACAGGAACATTCAAATACCCCCCACCACTTTATTTTTAGACATACAGCAGAAATTGTCGAACAACAAAGGTTCAGATTTTCATCGACAATAAAAATCAGGTATTTTTTTGTTAGGTTAATATAGCGGAATCCACCAAAAAATCACTTTTTAGATTCAAGATTGCAGTTACGCACCCTAGCGGTCATTTGAGAAACTTGAAAATATTTCCCAGGTTTTTCTCTTGGGCGTTTAAGTGATAAATTTTTTTCCCACAAGTCCCTACGATGTATAGTTTCCCAGATACAGTACCTCGCATTCTTAGTTGGCCACCCTGTACATCTCGCACCACTGACAGCTCCTTCCAATATTTCTACTTCATTATTCAAATCTCCATCTTCTACATCACTGACTTTATGTTCATCTTGATCCTCGTTATTATTCAGTTCTACTATTTCGTCTAGAAAATTATCAGTTGTTTGTGAATCTTCATCGTCTGAATCTGAAAGGAATTCAATATCTGAGTTAGTGTCATTCTCCAAATAGTGAAGAAGTTCTTCTTCCGTAAGCTTCCCCTTCGAACCTTTCCTTGATTCTGACATTTTCTCCAAAAATTGTGTTGGTCCACCCGTATGTACATAACAATTCAAAGTACATCCTCGAAATTGATATAAGAGATAACTCTTCGAATCATGATAAAGCAATAACATTCATATCTATAATCACCAATAACAAGTCACAGAATCACTTATTTGATTGATTCTATCAATAAACACATAAATCTTACATAACCTCAACACGACCTGTTCGTACCACAAAATATTGATGACTAAAATACGATTGAACTCGCATGGTGAAATTATTGCGCCTTCGCTAGAAGCCCTGCTAGGTCGAAATAGGTTGTACCTCCCGATGTACAAACCCAGCTCGTAGATAGAAATGATGCTGACATTCATATGAAATATTCAAATTGGATGTACATGGTAATGGACAAATATAGTGGAAGGATTAAATGAATTTCTTGATCTCCTTTGACTTTTTAGTTATTCAGAAATTTTTCAATCCACTATCCAACCGTTCTTCATTGAGATCTGCACTCTGCAAACGTTTGTTTTCATTTTCAATGTCTTCATCAGTGGTTTCCAATTTATAGCTATACAATTTGGCCCGCAACCCTGCGAAATATGAAATTATCCTGCCGCAGGATTCGTCCTTCCTGAATGTTAGAAATAATCTCCGAAAAGGATCCAATAATAATACTTTATTTCAGCAACATACAACACACTCTAATTATATCGACAGAATGACCAATCATCACTCCTCCCGGTCGTTCGACACCTCGTACTCCCACCATTGTAGTACGGGATAGCGCAACCTATACGAGGTGATGCATGTATACTACATATACGGGGTGATGCATGTATACATATCCTACATTCGGCCATCCTGCAATAGGTCTGTAAAAGACCTTATACTGACCTGAAACAAAAATCAGTATTAAATAGCTCTAATGATAGACAACGTTTATCCTATGTATATGACAATTCTTGTCAATTATACTCTCAATGTTCAACTAAAAAAATAACGTTCAACTACAACAATATGTCCTTCAAAACTACCCTGGTGACCTTCACTTAGAAGTGATCCTCACCTAGAGACATCTCTTGTGTACTTAAATTAGAATAATATTTTACTTCAAGATTACCCTGGTAACCCTCACTTAGAGTAAACTTCACTTGAACTTACTATGATAATCGCATCAAAATTACTCTGGTGACCCTCACTCAAAGTGACCCTCACCTAGAGAAAACTTTTTCGGGAATTTTCTAAGATATTCATGTCAAAATTACCCTGGTGACCCTCACTTAGAAGTGACCCTCACCTAGAGACAACTTTTGTATACACTTACGTTTGATCATCCTGTATGCTTATCCATCTCTTGAGATGGTCTGGGGACATCACAGTTCGCGAGCGTTTGAACCCTTCTCTCAAATCCTCGACTTCGTAGCGATCGTTCATCAAAACTTTGGTTACCCTGAATGGACCTTTATATTTCGCGTTCAATTTTCGACTGGTTCCCGTTGCTGGAAGGCTAGTTATTCGTACCATAACCAATTCTCCAACATCGAACTTCGTTGCATCACGTCTTAATTTATCGTATCGTTCCTTCTGTCGTCGTTGATCTTTCGTTATATATTTTGCAATTTTATTACGAATGTCAGACAAATTCAAACGATTTATGTCTTCTCGTACAATGTTCAAGATTCTTGCCTCTGCTCCATGTTTTGTATTCAGTCCGATTAATGCTTCCATCGGAGTTGCATTTATGCCCTTATTATGACTTGTATTGAGCGCACTTTGAATTTGTTTTACATAATTATCCCATTCCCTGGGATCCTTTCCAGCTACCGTAGTAGAGAGGGCACTTACTATGGTTTGATTGTAACGTTCACATTGACCATTACTTCTTGGGGTTGCTACAGCATTTAAGATATGCTTTATGCCGTAAATGTCACAGAAGTTTTGAAAACTTTTTGAAGTGAATGCTGAACCTCTATCACTTATAATTCGTGAAGGCACTCCAAACAAATAAATCAAACTAGTTAATGCTTTAATAACATATTTAGCTTTTTGGCTACGTACTGCCTCAATTACAGTAAATTTAGTGAATCCATCAACAATCACAAATAAAAATTTATTTTTACTTTTACTTGTTTCAAAAGGTCCTACATGATCAACGTGTAGAGTATGGAAAGGTATAGGAAGTTTTTCTATTGGATTCAGCTTACATTGTTTCTTGTTGCGTGTTTTCTTGTAATAGGCACAATGAAGACATGCATTTACGTATTTCGTAACAAATTTCCTCATACCAGCAAACCAATAATTACTTCGTATTCGTTCCAAAGTTTTCTCGATTCCTAAATGACCCGAATCATCGTGGCATAATCTACATATCTGCATACGAGCCAAGCGGGGGACCACCCAAGCTTTATCACCATTTTCCAGTTTCCTATAAATTTTGTCCTTTCTCAATTCATAATCTTCAAAATAATGTTTCGTTTCTCTATTTTTTTTTTCTCTCAGTATTTTGTTAATTCTCCTAAGCTGTTCGTCTTGTAACTGTGCAGCAGTAATCCAGTCACCTTCAGTTAAATCCACTTGACAAATGTCTATTTCAGGACTTTGAGAAATTCTACTCAAAGCGTCGACATGAGCCATTTTTTTCCCAGCGCGATATTCGACTTCAAAAGTATATTCTTGGATTTCCAACCACCATCTTCCGATGCGAGGTATGAGTGTTTTCTTTGTCAGTGTCATTTTGAGAGCATTACAATCTGTTATGACCTTGAAATGTATTCCAAGAAGATATACTCTGAAGTATCGTAAAGCATAAACGACGGCCATTGTCTCAAGTTCATAAGAATGATAATGACGTTGTTCCATTGTCGTTTGTTTGCTAAAATATGACACTACATGAGATTTTCCATGATGATCGAACTGGATGAGCATAGCGCCCATGCCCATTGAA